GCACTGCCAGGCTCTGGTCAGCTCTAGCCGCACCAGACTAACATGGTGCTCTGCACTGGAGCTTTATGAAGACTCGTGAACTAAACCTCCCACCATCCCTTTGAACAGAAATGGGCCATTGAGGTGTGAAGACTGCAATTCCAATTCCCTAATCCCAAACTGTCTCTAGCATGCAGTATAGTGCTGTTCCAGTTGCTGTTGGCTGCTTGGAGGAAACCCTTGACCTAGGGAGAATTAGCTCCGAGTCATTATGAGAAAGCCTGACCACAGGCCATTTCTGGCTTAAATAAAATCCAGAGACTTGTAGTTCTTGCAAGAAAGCCTCCACTTACGACATCTCCTGTTGAATTCTTGCATGCATGGGTTGTGAGTAAGCATGAACTAAAAACAGGATGTTTCTGTATTACTCAGCAAATATAATCCCCCTCGCTTTTGGAGCCCCACCCACCGGTGACACCCAGGATTTGTGGAATACCCCTCATTGTTCTCCAGTAGATATATAACATGACTATACTGTATCCTCATGGTACTCTAGTACATGTGACATGACCACAGTGTAGTACTAATAACTGCACTTATTATCGTCATTTTATTTTTAGAAGTCCCTCCCTGCACCAGTGGTGCTAAGATGCTCAGGGCGTTGGGGAGGCAATTAAAAGACATTGTGAGAGAGAGTGCAGGCAGGATATAAGACCAACAGGAAAACTTGATAGGTGCAAATTTCTAGCAACAGAGGGAAAGATTCTGCATCTTCTGTAGATGCATCCCCACCTAGGCGACCCAAAAGGGCCAACGTTGATTTTTCCAGCCTGATGTTATCTCCTCTTACCTGAGCTTGAAACAGCCTCTTGCAAGTCTGGGCACACACGCTGGCCTGCTTTCATCCACCACCCCAGGTTTTCATAGCCCACGCCGAAAATCTCAGCAACTGCAGCTGGGAGCATGAAGACACAGCACTCCTCAGGGCCTAATTCTGAAGCTGGAAAGGAAAAGGATTGAACCAGCTCACAGCAGACTGGTTTCTTATAAATATTCCAGCCACGTTCTTTCTGCCATGTCCAGCGAGGTCAGCAGGGTACCAAGATTTGAGGTTTAACCACATATAGAGGAACTACCAGAGCATAGAGTAAGGGGCATGATGACTGTAGTACAGATTTCCTCCATTTAAAAGGATGGTGGGATAACAGGGGCACATCCTCTGCCTCTCTCCTCTCCCTTTGCTGTGTTCACCAGGCACAAAGGTAAAGACCAACCACGGGCCCCTATAATCCCTGCTCCTATCAAAGAGAAGCCCCCAAAATTTTAACTGGTTTTTATGAGTCCTTCCCTGTAGTCCCTGGTGGGAAGCAAGAGAGGTGGTTGATATAACAAACTCCAGCAATCTCCAGCTGGCAGATGGACCTTTAGGGACAATGTGGCACTTAGGTAGGGGCTCCTTTGTGGTGTGTATATGGGTGTAGGTGAGCATGTACACATGGGTGTTCGGGGACCAGTCGGAGAGTCAGGGATTGTAAACAAGTACAGCAAAGGACCCAGCTCTACACATGTAAAAGTAATGAGGGAAGCGGGGGAAGGGGTACGACTTTGGGTGTGGGGGGGGGCAGGAGTGAGGATGGAAAAGGCTGGAAGGGATCCAATTAGCTGACTTTCAAAGTAAAGTTTTACTAGTGCTTATGTCTTCTCTAATCCAGATCTCGCTGGAAGTCATTACATAAAAAGTGCACGAGGGGGGGAAAAAAAGGCAAACCAAATATCACTGTACAAGTGTCACAGTGATTTTTAGCATACTTCTAAACTAATTAAATGGGAGAGATTTTTGCTGGGTGATAAGGTTTGTTGTTTTATTGTATAACTGGGCATTTCTATGAGTGACATTTAAATAAAGTTGAATATCAGAGATCTAACTTTGCATGCTTTTTACTGGACCTGCCCGTTTGCGTTCTGGATAAACATGCTGCAATGTGGCCTCTACTTTAAACTGATAAAAGCCCTTGTAATTTTAAAGGATTATATCTAAGGATGGTATTTGGCTACTTTTACGAGTGCTTTGCAAGTCACGGGGGGTAGATGAATTTTTGCTTTTTTGTTCCTAGGAGGGAAAAAATACTGTATCTTTAAAATTAGGAGTAGCTGAATAACGAATCTTGGGCAGTGAAAAGGCTAATGTGCTGTGGAAGAGAAGGAGTTTAATCTAATTTAGTTGGAGGGTGTCTGTCTGTGGTGTTGTTTTCTGGACTGTGGGAATAGAGCAGAGAAGCTGCCCTAGTGAATGGTTCCTCCTGAGCCAGGATCAGTGGGGAGTCCCTTAGATGCCACTGATCCGAAGCCAGGCCATGAAAAGGGGATTAAAGAAATGTTCTGATTTGCAATTCACACTAATGCACCCCGTCGAACCTTTGGTAATATTTCAAACCACATTTCAAGGGAAGTGCCCTTAAAATAGCCGGCTAAATTGTATTAGAGCAACACTATACAACCCACTCATCCATTTATGATGTGGGGTTTGTTTTTTGATTTTTAATCTTTTACTTACTCATGATGTGTGGGTTGTTTTTTTTTAATGTAATTAAAACTTTTGCGCACAGTAAATATTCTGCACTTCCATGGGAATATGCTGCACTATGCCTGCCCTACCAATCAGACATGTTTTGTTTATTAAATATTGTTGCAAAGTAGTTAGAGAAAGTCTGGATTTAGAGGAGAAAAAAAAAAAGCGTAACTTGGATTGGTTTTAAAAATAAACATTAGCTGCAGACTTTTTATAAATGATCCAATTTAATGTCATGATCAATATCTTATCTGGGAATTAAATAGGGGAGACAGATTGTAATAGTTACAGTGTCCCTTTTTGGGTGTGCTGTTGTTTTTCCTTAAGAGCCACAATCTTCTTCAAGGATAACTTTGGGTTTTTTTATTATTATTTGATCTTTAGAATGAGCTATCCAAATGAAAATGAAGGCTAGTAACACGCCTTCATTATGTATCAGGCACAGGAAGCTAAAAATTGCTTGTCTTAAACTGAACATAGATGGATTACTGAAGCAGAGGACAAAATATTATTCAACTGATCTTCTTTAAAAAATAAAGTATTTCCTCCATCAACTGCTAACCAGAAAAGATTCATTAAATGATTTGCAAGCACAGCCAGAGACTTTTTTGTATTTTAGATTCACTAATATCAGTATACTTTGTTGTTATGGTAGGTAATTTATGAATGCTCTACTGAAAAATCTTTAATATATTAATTAACTTGTAACTCTCCAAGCTTATCATTTAATTTCTCTTTACTGTGAAGTGTCAGAACATTTTATCTGAAAAGGATTATTTAGGTTTTCTTTAATCCCATTTCAGAAAACCTTGCCTAGAACTGTAACATCTATTGACTCTAAAATGTTAGAATATACATGCAACTTTGATTTTTATTATTATCCATATCAAAGTATTTTATTCTACGTTCACTGCAATAGATTACACAGTGTCCAAACTTTGCTATTCCAGGTTTGGTTTTTTCTACCCTGTTTATGCTACAGTACATCTACAAAATCTGTAGTTATGGTTTATATTATGACATGCCTTATAAAATATTCCATTTATTTATTATTATTATTTTGCTTGTGAAATGGGAAAGGACTTTGAGATGCACATTTATTCTCTGGCAACTTTAGAGGCAGAGGGATAGGGATAGGGGAAGACGCTTCTTTTCCTGCGAGTTGGCACATTATTTGAAATCATGTTTAATTATAAAGTTTCATTAAAAACCTTTTGCTTAAAATTTTAGAGGCCTAATAAGATTTCCATTAATTTAAACATATCGCTATTCCCACAACGGCCCAAATGCTTTCTTTTTCCTCTTTCATCCATGGTTAAATATGTAAATAAAATGTCTAAAGTCATTCTTCAAAGAAGACAAAAGAAAAAAGAGCTGAGGGAAAAGACAGCCATAAAATTCCTCCCAATTCTCCATAACATTTGCCAGAGGGGGGCCAACTCCTAGCCAGGGCCTAGCAGCAGGGGTGCCTGGCTGCTCCATAGAATCACACATCTCAAATCCCACACACAGGAGAAAAAAATAAAAAATAAAATATCTTTTCAGCTGGAGCCATCAAAAGGCTCTTTTCATTTATTAGTTACAGAGTTATCTTCCAGTTGCTGATTTCTCAGAGCCCTCATTTTTCTATAATAATGTTCTGTTTGTTAGTTTCTTTGACTCGGGCGGCTTGAATGGGGGGCACTTCTGGAGAGCTTTTTTTAAAATATAAAAACAGAAATAAATGATCTGAAGAGGGTCGTGTCAGCTAAAATAATGGCAAAAAAAACCCAAACCCCAACCCAGACTGATTTACAGTGGCACATAAAAGACCAATTAAAAAACATAACTCCTACAAAGGTTGAGTTTTTCTTTTCTTTTCTTTCCCCCTTACCATTTTACATCGATATTTCCTTTCTGTGTCTAGGGAAAATAAGCAAAGAATGAGCTGTTATCAACAGCTATGTCAATAAATCCTTTTCTCCCCACCCCCCCAGTTGATTTTAGTGTAAATTTTGACATACAACAAAAGTGCTTTGCAAAAAGGCAAAAAAAAAAAAAGTGAAAGTACCCCCCTCCCCAACAATCAAGCTCAGCAAAACAAACGGTATCAAAAATGCTCATCTCAAGTGTCGTTTCAATTTCACTTTAGAAAAGGCAGTTTGTCCCTTCTGAAAGCTTTCCCCTTCACTTCCCCACCACCCCCAACTGAGCTCTCCAGAAGAGGATCCTGGATGCATACAAATCCTAAGAAAACAGGCTCAGATTAATAAAGAATGGAAATGCCCCACCACACACACTCTCTATAAAATAAATAAGGCCCCCTTTTTCCCCCCCGTAACACTGCCTGCCTTTGTAAGAGTCCCCCTAATGAATCTAAAACTGTCCAAGGGAAGGATCAGCTTGATAAGATCAATGCAGTTCATAAGCCTGATCTCTTTCAGAGAGACTCCTGGATCCACTGGAAAACCACTAGAAGGAAAACAGACACTTACTTAAATCATCTTTAAAAAAGAGAGACCATTTACTTCTGGGTAAGCAAACACTGTCAGCATCTTTAGGGGATTCGGGGCAAACATTAGCCCTGGTTTGCTTTCCTTGCTTGGATCCAGTTCACCCTTATCACAGCTGAGGAAGCCAACAGTTTCCTTTTTGGAGGCTGGTGGGGTATTAACTCTGCCCTGGTGGGATTTGCCAGTTTCCAGGAGAATCCATGCTCATTTTGATAAGAAAGAGGCACTAATGGAGAGAAACCCAGTTTGCGTGGGTGTGCGTGTAAATGGAGAGAGGCAGAGAGCTTTCCATTCTTCATGAATGTTTGCCAAACCTGAGCTCAAAGGGGGCATGGGGAGGTGGGGGGAGAGGAAAGTACAGCTCTTGTTCTGTCCTCTGATCATAACGCTCCCTTTGGGCCCTGCCTAGATCAAGCAGTGGGGTGGGGACTTACATGGGCAAACCGAGCAGCCCTTCCAGTGACTGGCAACGGCTGCTTTCCCCTACTGCTGCTCAACCTCAGACTCGTCAGAGCCTGAGCCCGTGGCTCAGGACGGGGAGATGTCCCACGGAACTGCAAGGCAGGTCTCTGGCAGAAATGCTGCAGCTATTCCTGGTAGAAAAGAACCAGAGGAAACCCTGTGGGGCTGCTTCACAAAGATCCCAACCAATCTACATCTTTAAAGACAAAGATATCTATATATTTAAATATATAGATAGATGCATCTATAACCAATCTACATCGTGAAATACATAGAGATGGATATATATATATATAGATATAGATATAGATATATCTATATAGATACAGATGTGTGTGTGTGTGTGTATGCCCATATATGTTTATGCCGAGAGAGAGAGGCATCAACATATATATGGGCACACACACATGTATATATGTACATATAGGCATACACATATATATAGGTATACACGTATATATACACACACATATATGTAATAATAGGGATATATATGTAAAATGTGTATACATGTCTACATACATACATATACATACACACATACAAACACACACATATGCCTATATATGCTATATATATGCATGCGTGTATATATATAGACTCAGGAGAAAAAAGTATGTATATGTATCTTCTGTAGCTATACCGATACCAAGATAGATATTCAGGAGAGAATAGTGTGTGCGCATTATATATATAA